TTTGTAATATAATTCCAATCAAAGCTAGATTTTTCAGACTTGCCATGGTGTTCACTGCCTTTAAATCGATGGCTACAGCAACCTAGATTATTGGAAAGTAAAGTGTTCTTATTATCATTCTATATCTTTTGCTCTGATATAAAAACTCATGCTGGCTAATATTTATATTTGTAACAAAGTGTTCTGTTTGCAGAAGACACTGTGAAGTCTATTTCTTTGTTGAGTCTTATTTAATTAAACTCTTCAAAACTCTCCTGTTGATGTTCAAATATATCTTTTTGTTTTAAAAGCACTTAGAATGTTACAAAGTAATGTTATTAAAGACAACTTTGGTGCCTTGACTAAGAATTTATTTTGGTGGAGTTTAGATTTGATGATCTTTTCTGGTCTCTTTTGTGCTCCTTTTAGTTTAAGTTTTACACTTCAGATACATAGAATTGTAATTTCTAAACCCAGTGGTTGATAAAGAAAAGAAGATGACTAATAGAGTGGTAATGTTATCTGAAGACACGTGATGGGCTAGATGTGGTAGAAGAATTCTTCTCCTGAAAATGAAGCATTCTCCTGCACTCTACCATGCTATGCAAGAATTCACAGCCTGGTTACTGAATTAAGAAGTTAAGCTGCAACCCAGGACCTCCTCTGTTGCTGTCCAGCTTCACTCTTTTGGCTTTGCTTCCAGCAAGGAAGAGAAGCTCATGATCATGAATTGGATCTGGGTGTTCTGAGTCTATATATGGAGGTCTTTATAAGACCCAGGTTGCCATCAACCTGCAGAACTGAAAATCCTCACTTGTTGAAGTTTCTGATAGTTAAATTGCAGATGCCAATGGAGGACAATGCTCACTAGCAAAAGGAATCTCGTCACTAGGGATGGGGCAGTGGGCATTTTATCAACAGGCTGGGGACCACTGATGCAGGCATGGGCCTTCCTAAGTGGAGTGTTAGGTTGCAGAAGCTATAGGTTGATTGGTGTCTCAAAATCAAGCACAAATAATAAAAGTCAGTGGATAGTTTGTTTTACCTTTAAAATAATGGTGTATTTGCCACAGCAACACATTACTTTACCAGTAAGGAGCAAAGATGAAACATATGAACAAATGCTGAAGCTTCCAGGTACTGAGATAAATCTTTGTTGATGTTGGATAATCAGCTTCTGGTGATTGATTGATTAATTATAGACTCTGTATTCATTGGTGCAGTCTGGTTTTTAAAGGTACTCCACAACAAGATTTGTGCTGAGATCTGAAATGGGCTAAGTAAGCTGTTGCTTAGAGCAACATATGGACTTAGGAGCAAGATACTTGCCATTTGAATCTGAACTTAGCTGTTTCAGTACTTTTTGCCATAAAATATTTGAGAACAGTTATGGGAGAGTTTTGTCATCATTTTAACTTGTGAAAAACAGAACTATACACCAGGCTGAATTCAAAGCTTGAATCCCCAAGAACTTATAGCAGAATTCACAGATAATGTGCATACCTTGCATCAGAAAGCATGTAATAAAATAAAGTTGGAGGTTGTGAGGAAATCTTGATTAATAAGTTGGTGAATGATATATAGAGAGAATCCATGTAGTACCATATAAATGTTAAATTTCTAGCCAAAACAATTTCTGTGAAAACAAGATTTTAAATGGTCATGTAGAGTATGTTCCTAAAAGAGAGAGACCAAAAGATGTGGATGAGATGAACAAGCTGGCAGAACAGTATATGGAATCCCATGGAGGGAGTATAACAGGCAAACTTTAGAATAACCAGTCAAAGTTGAAACTAGGGGAGGCTGACCAGAAGCAGGATGCCACCAAAGGTGACAAGAAGTCAACAGATAAAAAGAAGATATTCTATGCTTGTTATAAAATGGGGCACATTGCAAGTGAATGCAAGTCGTCACCAACAAGCAACAGCAGAAATCTCCACGTCACGGAGCTGTAGCTGCCTACAAAGATGGTGCTGTCAAGAAACAAGAAAAGGGTGACTGTCACTAATGGGTGCTGCTGCCAGAAAAAACAGGAAGAAGACAACTCTTCAGATTCCCCACAAGAAGGAAGTGTTATCACCATGAATAAACAGTGCATGATTGATGGTTAGCTCAAGCTAGCAAATAGGTCAACAGTGCCAGTGGTTATCGGAGCATGTGACAAACATTGAGAGGTGCCAACAAACCACAACATTCCAGTAGGTTAAGGCTAAGTTGGGGACAAGAAAGTGAAAGTCCTACGAGACATTGTGTGCAACAGTGAGAACTAATCAAGTATCTGATGACCAGATGATGGGCAAGGTACATCTGTATGTGCCGCTTGATGAAACAGTGAGAAAGTTTCCTATAGCAAGAATAAAGGTGGTCATTTCATACTTCATGGGAGACCTTGAGGCCATGTGTATGAAGGCACCCATCTATGACTTGGTGATTGGCAATATACGAGATAGTAAAAGTTGAAGGAATCAGACAGAAAGGAAACTGATGAGACATTTGCAGTTGCCACAAGAGCTCAAGAAAAGAAAAGTAAGCATGACATCAAGCCCCTGCAAGTCTCAAAAGGTGATATCCCAAATGTAGGTCTATGGGATCTGAAGGAAGCACAGAAGAAAGACCCTCCACTGGAGAAACTTTAGGACAATGCGCTGGAGAAAGTCAAGCACAAGGCAGAGAGGAAAGGGACTTACAGAATAGAGGACCAGGAGAGAGAGAAGTATCAGATCTATCAAGGCAGTTTTACTGGGGAAGTTAAACACATCATAATACCAATAGAATACCAGACTCAAGTGATGGAGTTGGCTGACGAGTCCATTGTGGGAGAACACCTTGGAGCAAAGAAGATGGCAGACAGAATCACTAGCAGCTTCCATTGGCAAAGGGTCATCAGAGATGTAACCAGATTCTGCAGGTCATGTGACATCTGCCAAAGGACAATACCTAGAGGTAAGGTAGCCAAGGTGCCACTGGGTGAGATGCCTCTCATAGAAGAGTCATTCAGCAGAGTAGATGTGGATTTGGTTGGCCCACTAACACCTGTATCTGACAAGGGCACTGCCAAAGATAGAAATGGAGAGAGTAACACAAGCCCTTCTGGAAGTGTTATGCAGAGTAGGATTTCCAAAAGAGTTCTTGAGTGACAGAGGGACCCAGTTTACCTCAGAACTGATACAAAAAGTGTGCAGACTCATCATCATTAGGCAATTCTTTACCACCCCTACAATCCCAGATGTAATGGACTTTGTGAGAGAGTCAACGAAATCTTAAAGAGCATGTTGAAGAAGATGTGTCAAAAGAGACCATGTAACTTAAACAGGTACCTGCAGGCAGTATTATGTGCTTATTGGGAAGTTCACAAGCGAGTACTGGATTTTCATCCTTCGAGTTATTGTACAGAAGAACAGTACAAGGCTTGATGCAGATATTAATAGAACTCTGGACAGTAGAAGAAGAGTCAGAACTGAGAAACACTTACTATTACATGTTAGTCCTCTGAAACTGACTGTTGGAGACCTGGCAACTTGATGGAGAACGTTTGTATGCAGCTCAAGGCAACCAGAAGCACTTCTATTACTAGAAGGTCAAGGACTAGCATTTCAAGGTCAGACAGAAGGCCTTAGTTCTCCTGTCCAGAGACAACAACAAACTCACTCTGCAATAGAAAGGACCTTTTGTAAGTGCAGGAAGTGGTCAACAGAATGGAATATAAAGTGAAATTGGATGAAAAGACCAGGATCTACCATGCCAATCTGTTGAAGAGGTACTTTGAGAAGGAAGAAGACCTAATGGATGCAAAATTTGAGGTGCAGATGGACATTGCAGGTGTGACTGACACAGATACAGAACCAGAAGATGGTGACTTTGTCATAGAAGATGAAGACCTACTAGACCTAAGACCACTGAGTACAAAGATATGAACATCAGCAAAGAATAGACTGGCAAGCAGAAGAAAGAGCTACAAGATCTACTGTGCAAGTACACTAATGTCTTCACAGATAGACCAGGCAAGACAGACCTTGTGCAATACAAGATTGAGACCACGATCAGGGATCCAATCAAGGTAAAGCCCTATCAGGTGCCCTATGCAATGAGAGACCTGACCAAACAAAAAGTCGAAGCAATGTGAGAAGCCAGAATTATTGAGCCTTCAAATTCAGCCTATTGTTCACCAGTGATAATTGTGAATAAGAGGGTTGGCTCAAAAAAAGTTCTGCATAGATTTCCAGAAACTGAACCTCATGACGAAGTTTGACACTGAACCTATGGGTAATCAAGAGGCTATCAAAGGGAAACTAAACAGGGCCTAATTCTTTACCAAGTTCAATGTTGGATATAAAAAGACTGTTTAGGAATTATTTAATTGATATAGTGATATAATATTCAATGATTATTTATTTTTCATAAGAGGTGTTAACAGTTAATTATTTTAAAAGCCATAGTTTCATTATGTAACTCTGTCCGAGTCATATGTTGTGTATGCAGTTTAATTGTTGTACTAAGTTCTGTAATATTGTTGACTTCATCTTACTTGAAGCTTTTAAGTTTTCACATTATGTTTAATAATGTTATTACTAGAAGGCTGGATATTTCTAGATTTGAGATATAGAGATCTAGCCTGCATGATTGTGAGTTTAGTCATAAAGAATGTATTGTGGCAATTTTAGAGTGAAATTAATCGTCTTGTCAGTTGTGTTCTGAAGTAATTGAACCAGCCTGTGTAGACTTTGATGAAAAAGAGAAAAGTATTTAAAAGCTTTGGATACAACTGTGGTAATGAACAGTTATGGCAGTGATTTTAAAGTGGAATTATTACAGGTTTTATTGTAATAACAAAGTAGAGAAGAATAATTCATCTTGTCAAATTATGTTCTAAGGTAAGTGAACAACCTTGTGTGGAATTTGACAACAACAACAAAAAAAAGAGACAATTATTTAAAGCTCTGGATACAACTGTGATAGCCAACAGTGTAACATTGACTTATTTTAATATATTATTTTAAAACAAATGGACTGTGTACTGTTTGTTTATTGTTGAAATATATCACCAAAAAGTCACAGACACCTACAGTAAAGAATCCAACCCATATACAAAAACCTGACAGTAGGTAAAACCAGAAGAAGTGTTGATACAAGAGTGTCTAAACATACACACAAAAAGACTTTAAATATGGATACAGAAACAATGTCATTTTTCTTCATATAAGAGATTCTGGCTATTATATCGATTGGAAATCAATAACAATTTAACACAAAACAAATAACTACATTAAAAGAAGAATCATTGATAATTGCTCAGTGAAAAGCCTACCTAATTTCAACATCTCCCAAGGCCACTTTAACATAAACAACTTCCTGTATTATTAAAGGAATTTGAAGTTCTGGGGTCATGAAGGCAATGTTGAACAGTTTTCCTGCCAGAATACAACACGAGACTAAAGAGAATACACAAATGTTTCAAAACTAGTTTCTTTAATGTCAAGACTTCTGACAGTTTATTCCATTTATGGTTGGTTTTTACTGAGATGTCCCATTGTTGTCACCAAACAGGAATGCTACCATCACAGTAAAAAAACACATCAACAGAGGTTGGAGCAAAAGCTATAGCAAAGCACAAAATGACCTAACCTCTCCAATTGTAGCTTCAGTGTCTGCAGGGACGGCCAATGTAGAAATGTCATCACTCATGAACACTGGTAGGCTGAGAACTCAGGGAATCATTTGAAGTTTACTTAATGTAGTCCTGGTTTCCATGACTATCTATTTAGATGACACACAAGATGCCATGACTCTTGATGTACAAAGGGAGAACTTTATTATACAAATAGGCTCCAACAGCTACTAAAACAAAACAAATTAAAGGAAAACTCAGATTAAAACTTTGGATAATCATAACTTAGAATAAAATCAAGTGAAACTCAAATTATAATTAAAATCAGAATAATCTCAAAATTATACTAAACTAAAAGCAAACTAAAAATAAGCAAATACAAAATAAATACAGGTGTGGTATTCAGGTCCACTGATATCCAACAAGTTAGTGTAAAAGTATTTGCAAAATACACACATTAGAAATTTTATACATAAAATAAACTGAGCATAGACAGTAAAGAAAAGAGACATATGCTAGTGAACAAATAAACATCTTCATAGCAAAAAATAATAAGTGTTATTAATTATTTCACCTATTGGGCAGCCTCTAATACAGCTGTTACTTTAAATGGCTGTTGGAGTGAATGAAGGCTCTCTTTGAAATATTCACACTGCATCAAGACAAAGAAAAGGCTGATTATCACACAAACTCAGACAAAAATGTTAAAAGTGCAATATACCAGGATCCAATGCTGCATACATCACAAACTACTCTAAGTAACATTTACTCCTATTTCATACCAATTAGTACAACTATTTGTATCATCCCTTTTGATGAGCTATCCCCAACCCCAGCTGGTTTAGACACCGGACCAAATTGATATGACTTGCTATTTGTTGGCTTATGCAACTGGTACTTGAGTACAAGGATTATTACATATTTCTTCTGTTTTACATTTGATTAACAACTATGTCAAAACTACATGCAGAATGTACAAACATTTAGAAACATGAAGAGAATATACCTAATTAAAGATGTATTCTAAACTAGATATAGAAGGGTGAGATTTCAAGCTGTTTCAACTATAACAAGGGAGGAATGAACTCAGAATTACAAAACTCTAAATTGGATTATATAATAAAACTCAAAATGATAACTTGGAAACTCAAGAGTCACAACTTCCTATCAGTTTTTGATTCAATGATCATCTAACTGTTAAATTGCTCTATAATTAAGCACTTTTAAAGAAATTCTCTGTAGACATCCTTCAATGAAATAGCACTTAATAGATCAAAAAGCAAAGAGCTATACATAATTTTGATCACTGATTTTTCAATCAAGTATTGATCCTGATTCCTGTGGACACTGCAGTACATCTGCAGCAAGTGGATATTCATAGTTCTGATCCCCAAGAGCTGTACCTCTTGTTTGAATATCAAACAATTTGGAGAACAAACAATTAATTGATACTCAGTTACACTGTAAGACATCATGGTATATGGTAGATGTTCATCCCATTTTTTTCATTCAAGATTCACAAACATAGCAAGCACTTATTTAATCATCTATATCACCCCTTCATCCAAACTATTAGGCTGAGCATAATGTGATGAAGTTCAAATTCTGATTTCACCATACCTAACAATCAACATGTTTCTGCAAACAACTGGCCATTGTAATTTGTTGGCTCCTTGATCTGTGTGGTTTTTCAAGTGCAACAAATCACATTATTTACTGTCCAATAAACACATTAATGATGAACTGTGCTAATGTATCAGTCAATAGTTCAGCATCAGCTTGCTTGTGAAGTAATTGATAATGATAAGCAGGAGATGATAAATTGTTTTAGTTTTGGGCAGAAAAATAGGATTAAAGAAATATTAGAGAGTACTAAGGATAATATAAAATTAGAAAGATAAAACTGGGATTTACAAAATAGAATGTGAATGTGGGAGTATTTATGTTGGTCAAACTAAAAGCACTTTAAAATACAGATTACAGAAACATAAAGGTTATGTAAGAAATAATAAAATAGATAACTCGGCTATTACAGAACATGTAAAAACAAAACAACACAAAATTTTATGGAAAAACTACAATTTTAGCTCAACCTCATAACATTACAGCTTCAAATGGCAAAGAATCACTAGAAATAATAAAATGTAAAAAAGAAAAAGAAGTTTTAAACAGAGATCAAGTCAAAGCATTGATATTTGGCATGATGTAATATAAAAGTTGACTAAAGAATTATGTAAATACAAAAAGCAATGTAATATCATGTGGCAGAAAATAAAAAATGCTTAAATTAGTATGTCTTGCAGATAACCCTTGATGACGAAGTAGAGAACGTCAAAACATTGTACGTGTAGAGTGTATTTTCCAAGTGGAAGCCATTGACGGCTTCAATTAAGTTTTGAAAATTGTGTAAATATGAAACGTTGATTTTAGTTATTTATTAAATCTGTGGTCACTTCATTCCTGTTTTCTTTGTGACTGACTAAGAAATTTTACTTCCTTGTACATTATCACAAATTTCCTGGTTTCCTGTCACGACATTTTCAGGTTCTCAACTGTAGCCTGGCATTAGCAACTAAAAACCAAAATACCATCTACATAGATGAAATATTTCTCCCATTGCAATGATCTAAAAACGTTTGAGCTCTGTCAGCCTCTTGAAAGTGGTAGGTGGATTACACAGATCAAATGGCATGATATAGAATTAATACAGTCCTTTCCAAATGTTGAAAGTCTTGGATTCTACTTCCATTGTCTAGTTTGACTTGCTAGTAGCCATAACTCATATATGAACCAATGGGTTACCTCCATCACGTCTAGACATTCACCTGTTCTTAGCTACAAAAAATAAATCCTTACAGGTTTCAACTACCACTTTCCTACGTAAAATTCCAAGATTCTTTACAATCAACTTTATAAATGACATCACACTCCTTTATTATTATCAATTTCTAAAATAAAAGTGTACTTAGTCATGTATTAAAACTTGCCTCTTTTAATTCAATACATTACATTGTGTGTATGCAGTACTTGTAGTTAAAATGAACCAAGATTCAATCTCATAGGATTAAATTAAAATATTGATGTTCAAATTGAAAGTAATGAGACAAGGCCAAATTAAATGGCATTAAACAGAAATTAAATACAGCTACTTAAAATTAAAGATAAGGTAAAACAAAGGCAAAAAGTGCTTACTTCAAAAATGTACTAACCTATAGGAGAACAAAGAAATACAGCAGCTTCTAGGTATTACTTTCTTCTCTCAATCTGGAAAACAACACGATACTGAAAGTTGGGAGATCTTAATCTACGAAGTGCTAATCCTCTAAATTGGCCAATTACAGTCAGGTGAAATTTCTGTAAATGAAACATCTTACTCTACAACTGCATTAATTCTATAGGTAATCTTGCACTAAAAATTTATTTATCATCCTACAGAACACTCTCAAATACTTCTTTTTAAGATGACCCCCACCCCTTGAAGCCCATATTATAAAACATATCCGACAATGTCCTGTTCCCCAGAATCACTAGAAATAATAAAATGTGAAAAAGAAGTATTAAACAGAGATGAAGGGCCATAAAGTCAAAGCACTGATATTTGGTGTGATGTAATATAAAAATTTACTTATCTTCCATGTTTTCTTTTTTAGAAAAAATATAGTATCTTTAATATATGAAATTTCTTTTAATATCAGTTTAACTCATTTGTATATGAATTATTACTTCAGTTATTAACATGCAATAACTTTGTTACTAATCACCTTCAGTGAATGTCTTAAATATAGGACTTACTAGTCATTAACCTTATCAGTATCACTAGATATAAGTGTGTAATGTATCAGAGGCAGAACTAACAAGTATTACAGAAAATTTTAAAACAAGAACATTAAAAATAAAAAGACAAGCAACATTAGGGTCTTCTATAAAGTTACAAATTGAAAAAAAATACTTGTATAAGCAAAGTTATAGTAGCATTTTTGAATAAGATTTAATAAGTATATAATGAATAAACACACAGGGTCACTGATATATTGTTTAAAAAATACTCTCCTCTCATGTAGGCGTAACACTATGGGTTAGTGTAATTTGACTCCTTTTTTTTTAAGGATGTACATTTCTTTCATTTTTTAGTTGCACCCGATGTCAGATTAACTTTCCAAAAACTTTATTTCTTTTCAGATATTTTAGTCACATTTATAAGTTTTTAATTAGTTTTATCTCATTATACATGATTTCCTCAACTAACAGTTCTCATACAGGATGTGCACAGTGTATTCCTTGATTAAGGTTGCATCCCAGGTCAAGCTGACAGTTGTATATCTGTTGTCTTCATCCCTGCAGAAAGAAGGCCTACCTTCGGAAAGTGCTTAGATTATTCTGTCCCTTATTTTGTGTATTGTCATCCAAGATTATCTGGTATAGTATGATTTTTGGATTCTGTCAGGATAGTTTAGTCAGCAGTTTTTTTGTATCAAGTACACTTAATTTTTGTAAATGTGTATTACATGAAGTTCTAGCTTTATGAGTTTTCACAAATATTTTGCAATAATAAAAAGAAGCTATGTGCCATACTCCCATAAATGTACAGGTTTTGTTTAAAAGAACTCTACATTACAGTTCAAACAGTCTCATATTGTGTAATCTTAGATATTTAATTACACCAGTAATTAAAAAAAAAGGTTGTTAAAGGAACTTAATAATTAACAAAATTTGAATAACATGCATTTTTCTTAGGTATTATACTAATACGAAATATGATTTTAAAAATTATATCAAATATAACTAATAAAAGTAATAGAGAATCAAACATCAGGAACAAGACAATGCAAATATGATTTTATTCATAAGCTTCAAATTACATAAGAAAATATTTCAACTGTTTGAATTAAAATGGGTAAATATGTGTGCAACTATAGGCTAATTATCAACAGAAAGCATACCAAACAAATCACAACAATAGTTACTAAGTGCTGTAACATTATATATTTTGCACAAAAGGTAAAGATATGAAAAAATATAACACCATTTAAATTGCAAAAGAATCTTACCATTAATATTTTATAGCTTAAGTACTGTAGAAAATTTAAAGTTCATTGATGTTATATGACAATAAAAGGAAAAAAAAAATGCATCAAGTTTTAATAAAAAACACAGCTTCTGACAGTGAATGTCTATCAGAGTAATAGGGAGTAAACTCTTATTTTTAAAATTTGCATTTCAGATCAAATTAAATATTCTCCACAATGTTTTTATTTTTCATGATGAAAAAATCTTAAACTAAAACCACTGATTTACTTACTCTTCTAATAATCTTAATTTTATTCATTGTCAATGACCTGTGGATAAACTTCAACTCTATCTTTTGTAATGAAATATCACCAATATCTTGCATGTTTTCTTTTAGAAAAAATATAGTACCTTTAATATAAGAAATTTCTTTTAATATCAATTCAACTCTTAAGTCAAACCTTGATTTCTACAAAGCCCTCATTTATATAAGAATTATTACTTCAGTTATTAACATGTAGTAACTAATCACCTTCAGGGAATGATTTAAATATAAGAAATACTTACTAGTCATTAACCTTATCAGTAAATTGTTTAGTTATTAATAGTTTGGTAACTGTAAAATGTTATTTATGCTTAATTCTAAAACACACTATAAATTAGACATAAATATAATATATTAAGCATGAATCACTAAATATTTTTATCTGGTACACTACTGTAAAAATGTGCATGCTTCAATATATTTACTCATGATGCAATCTTTCAAACACCAATAAAAGAATTTATTTTGTTTTACATTTACAGTTTTTAATGTTAACAACATTCACCCTACAAATCTCCTTCAATTGTGAAACTTAAAAAATAAACAGTTATGCTCAGGATATCAATAGAACAAATAGAATAATTCTGAAATATTGCCTAAAACAAGCTACATTGTAAGAATGAAAAATTCAAATGTTTTATGTTAGTGAAAAAAGCCCATTCTTGGATAGAAAGCTTATCTAGTAGCTTATTTCTTGAACATTTACAGCAATTATCAGTAGTTTTAATCTTACTATTTTCTCTTTTATTGAATACATTATTCACAAGTTTTTAATTAATAATTAACAAATGCATTTATTGAGAATTCCTTCTAATTCTAGCACACTGAATGTTTTAACAGTTAACTAACCCCAAAAAAACATGAACTTACAGGTTTCAGTACACAGGAATTACACATTTATAGTACTGTGACACAAAAAACAAATCAAAAGGCAACAATGTTAACACTACTCTTCACAAGACTAGGATTGAATGTGGAATGCAAGAAAAAAATACATCAAAATTATTATTTTTTACATAGTGATTCTTAAGTTAGAGTTTTGAGTAATTTGGTTCGTAGAATTTGAAACATAATATAGCTACAGTAAATTTTAATTTATTGCTTATACATCTATCATTTTTAAGCCTTTTATCATTTACTATATTTGAAGCTTTGCTGTTTACATTTCTAAATATTTCTTAAACATTTTTATCAAGGACATTATTATAGAAATAGTCTTACATGAAAAAATATCTATTTTTAAGTAAACTTTCTGACAAGCATGCTTAACAATGCATTTATTATCTAAATGTTAATGTAATTGTTGCAAAATTATTAAAACATTATGCCTAATGTCTCAAACTACTGTTACAGAATATCTACAACATTAACAACTTATTAGTACTGTTGGTTAAAAAGCAAAATGACTGACAAATGTCCACAACTGCATGTTAATTATTAGCAAAAATTTAAACTCTCTTACGATACTTGTATTTCACAAATCCTCTCTAAACAAACCATTATGCTGTGCTTATGATGCCAACAATCTTATTCATTCAAAAAATATATGCAGCAATAATACTGGATCAAACACAGCCCTCAGTGGGTTTCACTTATTACCATACCAGGAAAACAGAAAACTGACATTTGTTAGTATATATAAATTACTTTGAAAATCTATTTTTAGTTCCTGTTTTTCATAAATGATATAATCAGTCTTACTTTTAGCAAGTTTACTTTTTAATTCAAATATCATACTGATACTCTGCTTACAAAGTTGCAAGAGTCAATATTATAAGCTAGTCTCATAGTTACATGTTAACTTATAGAGAGAAAATTATGTAAATAAACACTGCAACAGATTTTATAATGCACATAAGCTTTTTACTTAGATTACATTCACTGAAACATTCTACATTGGTAGCTTTATCAGCATTTGTGCCAATGAGTTTATTTGTCCAATTTTAACAGACCTATTATAGAAGTATTCAAAATTTAGTGTTTTTTTTTTTTTGTTCAGATGACATGATGCCAATCTTAGTTATACTATAGTCTTTAGAAAGGTCACAAAAACTATTTGAAGTATTTTGTAGAACACTCTCATTTTCCAAAATATTGCCACAAAAAAAATTAACAGTAATATCATCCAAATTTTGTTTTCATTCTTTCTGATACTACGATGTTCATATTTCTTAATGAAAAATCAATTTGAAAAAGGACAGAACTTCAGAAGGCAAAAATAGTAAACACGGTCGTCTTTTGCATGGTACGTCTACTAAAACTTCAAACTTTCACTTGACACGTATCTCACGAAAAGTTAGCTAAGACCAGATTCAATTTCAAGTACTTTTTTCTTTTAGCTGTTATTAGTTCGATTAATTCTGCCACTGATTATGATTCTACATCTTGCAAGTACCTTAATCTCATGTCAGTAAAATGACACTGTTGGTGTTGCTAAAATGTTAGGCTACATTTTTAGGCCTAGCTTTCCTTTCCAGCTGTCCACGCAATTAGTAACTTGTCCCTGCTCTTTTTCTTGAATAACATCCAAGACAGGCACATATTCCTAATATTCCTATAACTAGTCCTAATATCAAAGCTAACGCATCTCCAACATCAAACCCTGACGCTGACACAGTTTCGAAAAAGACAGAAAAACAAATCACAATTACCGCCCAGAACATTGCCATCTTGAAAATAGAGTTATTTTGTTGAGAACTTGAGGATTACTCAAAAGCACGTGATATACTCATTCGTACACAGCGTCACGCCATTCATTTATTCACAATATTTAAATTAAAACTTATTTTTCTCAAATTTTATTATCGAAGTTGTCAAGGTATTTCTTTGTGATTTTAGATGAATTTTGAAATGAAGGTTTTTGTCGAAATATATTAATGTTCAATGATACTGATAGATTGTTTAGGCAGAGTATTCATGATGAGTTCACTGGAATGGGCGGCCACTGCCTGTTGTAGAAAAAAGAAAGGTGTAGAGAACGACGTTTCAAAAGTATTTTATCGACGGAAGACTTTCGAAACGT